GGCCTTTATTGTTTTGAGAATTTTTGGACCATTTTAAGCAAAGTAACAGCCTAAAAAGCTTTCATTCTTGAGGAAATTCAGTTGATTAATGAAGTTGACTCAAACAGATGATTGAACTCTATTGGGAAAAGCAACATTTGTAACTGGTTTGATGCTTCTAACAGAAGTAAAGACGTTTCCATGTTGATAAATTATCCATGTCTGTGAAAGTGATCGACTTTATCTCCATATTTCAAGTGAGTTTGCTACATTTCAACTCCTCAGCAATACATAAATTTGATAGTGAATAAAAGTTCACAGACACAGACATGTACGGCTTGTGCGTGCACACACACTCAGGTTTCTCAATGTCTTGGTAATGTCATTACCTCCGTCGGACTGAGATCACAGATTTGTAGCTTCAGGGATTTTTAGTTTCTGTGTAGGAGCTCTTTCATGTTTGGCCCTTAGTGATCTACAGATTTCCTAACACCAGGAGGTTAGATCTACCCAGAATATATTTCACTTTAGAAGAAAGCGTATGGGGTCTTGCTCTTGCCAGGCGTTTAACGAGAACATGGCTATGCTGGACTTGCTTCGTCAATGGACTAGTTGCTAGCTGTAAATTTTGTGAAGCTCAAAGTGACGTTTTCAAATGTCTTGTTTTGTCTGACCCAAACTCAAAATATTCCATTGAATGTTAGACTTGCTAAAAACCTGAGAATGTTTACAATTCTTTCTTAAAAAATGGACAATCAAAATCATGTTAGTTTCTGAATATTTTCTCTTTGTAAGCCGATCGATTGTCATTAAAGTTTTATTTCAACCAAAAAGGTAATGAGTGCAAAATAATCCAATCTTTTCACTGCATAGTATTATTTCTCTAGTTTTGACTTGATTATACAACAAACCTTTAAAATGCAACAACACAAAGTTGGACACGATTTCTCTGCTGCTGGTTATGTAGAATCAATAGTCGCATAGCAGATACGCACATAGCAGTTTGTTTGATTGTGCATGCTGCTATTTGACCTTCAATCTGAGCAGCTATATTTTTTATCAGCTTGATACACACCATGATGCCTTTATGAGGTGTGTTCAGGGCTGCTAGCTGTATCCTAGAGTGAGGCTGATCGCCTGCTGCTCAGATCTCAGGTGAGGAAAAGCCTGGAATCACTCATCCTGACAGCCACATCTGGCGCTACTTTCTCTGTCCTGTTGCTCTCAATTCTGCTCCTGAAAACAGACCCAGTTCATTTAACCACAGAGGGAAGGAGTTATGATAATTGTAGTGATAATAATAACTTTATTGGTTGTTATTAATGAGACAGAGAACAGACAGTTTACACAGGAGAAGTAAACTCCTGATTGTGTGCGAGAAAATCATTGTTACTGCTAAGTTTTCTTTTGTTTTCAGGCTTTGTTTTGTTGTTGCTCGAAGGTGAACTAATGCCAGGTCCAACACGCAAAGATTCTGTTCTCTCTGTTAGCGCGGTGCATTTTAAATGATACATTTCAATTGCTCTATTGGAAATAAAGGCTTGTAGTGAATTCTGTATTTGTTATATTTTTGGGCCTTATGCTTTTATTGGATAGGACAGCTGAAGAAAGGAAATGTTGGGAGCAGAGAGAGGGGGATGACATGCAGCAGAGGGCCGAGGTCGGATTCAAATCTGCAGTCGCTGCGTCAAGGATTTTTAGTCTCTGTACATAACCGCTAGGCTATCAGCACCCCAGTTTATAGTGAATCCTGTGTGGCCTCAAATATACTTGAGGTGGGCTGCTAACGTTAATTTATATTATTAATATTTATAAAAAGTTATTTTTCAATCTAATAAAGTACTCAAAAAATGTTTTTGAGTGTGTATATTTGAATGGATTTATCAATTTGCAACGCAATGTCATAGGTCCAATTTCACAGTGTTTTATGTTCGTATGACATAAGAATATATTGCGCAATACTTTGTCTTTCTCTCAAGTGCAAGTAGGACAAAATATTTAAAGGGACAATGCTTTATCCGCTTGATTTGATTATTAAAAGCTGATACCAAAAAGCAATATTTTCATTATTTTCTTCTTTTTTTTTTTTTTTAAATCAAAACTGATAATCTCAACGGATATATCCAACAATATGACTCACCATGTCACCACCACATGACTCATCACAGTGGTGCTTATGACATAAGTGGGAGAGTAGACGTTTACTGGCCAAAGAAGCAGTTGGCAGCAAAATAAAAAACAGAAAAAAGACAGCTGGATAATGTCTAACAGGGGTGAAATGAAGTTAAAGGATGAAGCGTGATAAGAGGCGACACTGACACCAAATTACAGTGAATAAATACATTAATCCTTAACGCAGCCTTTTTAGGGTCATTTTATATTCTTCAGTTAATCAGATATATTTATGTTTCATGGTTGGCTTCCAATATATCAAACAGTTCAGAATCGCTGTATCAGGATCTTATGGTTATCCGGGGCCATGCATTTTATAGAATAATATCATATTGTTTTGCATCATTGTTACCATGTGTTTCTCACCCTAGCTTTCTAAAAGTTATTACAGGTTTCGGTGAGCCTCAGAATATTTTAGATTTTGAATTTGGCTGCTTCATTCTTAAATTTGCAAATGCTACATATAGACTGTTTGCATTGAAGCTTGCCTTAATTATTCGGTCTTCTAATCTACACTGACTCCTACTCTGGGCCAGATGTTTGTATCTTTTACATCCTTTTCTATTTTTTTCAAAAAGAACAACTTTACATGCACTCTGGTTTGCTCTTCTTTTGTCTTCAGCCCCTCATCAGACGGAGCAATCAGCTAAGCTCAGCTTTTTCCAACCCACAGTTTAGGGCCAAATCTAGCCAGTACCAGACCCGCACACTGCCTTCATCTGTTTCCTGTTGAACCTCGAGGATCAAGGGTTGGAGTTCAGGGTAATATTTACGTTAATGGAATCAATCCAAACAGATACCATTTCAAAACAAAAGCCTGGGGTATCCAGGAGCAGCCTGCAGTCGCACGTTTGAATATAAACAAACACTTTTGGCACTCTCACTTTATGCAAACATCTGTTCTAAGCCCTCATCCTCACTTTACTGCCCAGTGAGACTCTTTTTGCTTTGATGGAGACAGCAGACACAACCGTGAGTGAGCGGTGAGCTTTGTTCGCTTCTCTGAGGAGCACATCACCACAGGAGGCCATGATGGGAAATTCAGTCCGTCTGGATTCTCATTGAAGACGAAACTCAGTGGTCATGCATCAAATTGGCACACACGCACAACACAAAGTTAAATACCTGGCACACATCAAGTTATTGCTGAAAAACATCCCAGCGATAACTCTAACTTGCACAAACCTTCTAGCTCTTTAATTACACTTTAGAAAAATATGTCTTTTTTTTTTTCTTTCAGTCATTGTTTCTTGAAAGTAGGATTACTGCTGATTACATGCTTTCTGTTTTTTATGCTATTTTGATGTTTATTTTAATGAAACAAAATGCCAAGAATAAATCCTCATGTGGTTAAAATTTCATGGCAATAATTCCCTACTCTGATTCTGATTATCCCACATTACAGTGCACAAAATGTCCATGCACATTAAAGCAGAGAAACGTGATCTGTTCTTACTAATTGTATATTTTACAATTTAGTGCGGTTAGAGCTTTTGGATGAAGCCATCCTTTTTGAAGAGTTTGTTTGTTTAAATGAACCCACAGTTTTTCCAATGAAATTTAATATTCATTTGATGACTTTTTTTCTCAGCTTTGAGAGCTTATGGAGGGCTTTAGTTTATTATAGGCATATTAAATGGCTTTTTAAGCCATTTTCAGATTTCAGATTTTCAGATTTTCAGATTTGAAAATCGAGGCGCTGAAGAGCCTGATATTTACATATTTAATCAGACCAATAAAGCCAAAAGAGGAATATAAATGTGTCAGCATTACACATTTGCAATCAAAGAAGAGAAGTAGGTCAGAACATAATGTTGTATTAAACACATTTTTTAATTAAGTTTGACTGCCCTTAATCATTTGCTTGGTTTGGGGAACCGAAATGGCCTAGTGGTTAGGTGGCACACCCCATGTACAGAGGCTGTAGTCCTAGAGAGACCCCTCAGCCCTCCGCTTTGCTTCACATCATTCCCCACTCTCACTCCCTGATTTCCTACTCTATCGACCATTAACGCTTAAAAGCCTGAAAAAGAATCTAAAAAAAACTTTTAAAAACAGCTTTGCTAAAGCTTTAAATTAAATTATATAAATGTTTAATGCTGAACAAACATAACTAATGAGTGCCTTTTTCTTTGAATTATGTCCTTTCAATAATAACACCATAAATTAAGGCGAGCTCTGTATGGCTATGTCAGCTGCTTGAAAGGTTATTGTTATTTTTTGAATGCTTAAAGGGCCAGATTTAGGATGTAAAAGGGCCAGTTTTGGCCCACAGGTGTCCAATTGAGAGACTTACATAGTTTGTATTAGTATTTTTGGTTCACGTTTCCTGTTGTATCACCCTCATAGATGTCAGCTTATCTCTAAAATGTCTAAAGAAAACAGACTACAGTACCTGTTTACATGTTTACAAGTATTTCAGTTCTCCTAATTTCCTTAAACAGCGCAGGAAGACGCTTTATGTTTGATTTATGAAAATCTTCGCATGTCTAAGATACAACTACTACCTATGAACTTTAAAACTATGTGATGCGATCTACTCTTATTTATTTTAAATCACAAGTTAAACTATCAGTGATGCTCCAGGCCCACAATAACAATAAAAACAAAATGATAAGTTTGTGCTCAGATGTGTCTATTTATATTCTGTGCATTAAAATAAGAAGAAGCTGCAAAAGTAGGCGGTAGTGGCAGTGACTGCACCAAAAAGTTCCAGATGTGGCTGTAGAACAATGTAAGGAGGTTTTTCAAGGTTACATGGAAACCAGAATGAGATCATCATGTTGGTCATGTGGTTCCTGGTGCGTTAAAAGAATCAAAGTTACAACTGCTTTGTGGGTTTCTCCCAGCCAGGTCTTTAGACAAACTGTACAACTTTGCCGACTGTGCCGGTCTGCATCTGATCTTTGGGCTCAACGCGCTGCACAGAAACCCAGACAACTCCTGGAACACCTCCTCCACCCTGAGCCTCCTCAAGTACGGAGCCGGCAAGAAGTACAACATCTCCTGGGAGCTGGGCAACGGTCAGTCCAGCTACACACCACACGATAGGCTTCAGTATGTTGAAAGCAAATGTGTGTGCATGTTCTTAGCTATTGTTAAGAGATTTAGCTGATATTCATACAAGTTTGAGTTATGATTGATTTTAAAAGAACTTTTGATTGATGTAAAATTGAGTCAAAGTTAATTGCTTAGTTTTAATACAAATCAAGAAAAAGTCAAAAAAAAATTAAATTGGGTTCGGTCATCACTTTAGAATCAGAAGTTTTATAGTTTTGCGTGGGCGTGTCCAGACTTTTTTGATTGGGGTGGCCCTGACTAATGCAGGGGTGGCCTGAAGTGCAATGTGCTTATAAGAGACTTTTTTCGGGGGGTTTAAACATTGATTCTTATGTGTCTGAGTTCATACAGTTTACTGAAACCTTTAATGACCATGTAAGAATGTAATATTTATTTGTACTTTAGTCATAATGATCTTTACAAAGATAAAATACACCATAAGAAAGATATGGCCACACAGGCGGATCAATTAAAAAATGTCAAAAAGCTTCATAAACATTTGTATTTTTTTGAATGTCAACCCACTTATTCTTTTTTGGGGAGTTTTTACATTTTTTTTTATAAAATTACTATAAAAAAAAAACTTAAACTTACCTTAAACAAATAATTAGTTCAAAAATTGGCCACCAGAATTGGTCTTTTTCCCTCACTCCACCCTGCCATGAGAAATCCCTCACACAACGTGACCTTTTCACATTGATATGTTTTAAAATCTTTGAGAGACGTTATTTACATAGTGAGCTGTGAGTGAGAGTAGGGCAGTTTAAGGGTTAAAGCTGGGGGGGTTCAGACAGGGATGAAAGGAACTGCTAGTCCTCGTGTCATCCTTACCATCTGTGTTCCTACGGAGCTTCAGTCCACATAGAGCCCTGTGTTTCCCGGCTGCACATCTCTTTATATTTTCATTTCACTTAATCAGTAGTTGAGCTCACAATAGAAACTTTCATTATAGCTATAGCCTGAAAGTGCCGTGAAAAATCCATTCACTGGAGCATGTAGAAATGTTAGAAAGGACTTGAACTGTAGCAGAAGGAATCCTTTTAAGCAAATCAGAGCGAACTTGTAGAGGTTAAACAAATAGATGATCCTTTAAAATGTACTCAGAATATTTGTATGCAAGTTTGCAGGAATGCAGTATAGAAGCAGCTTCATACACTCAAAGAAGAAATACACTGAAAATGTTATTTTGCAGCTAAAACCCACACTGGTACAGATGTAATCAGAATCCTCTTTAGAGGTTGTAAAAAAGCGGTTGGCCTGTAAAATTTTAGTTTCCAACCTTTTTGGGAAACTGGCTCCCTCACTGTCTTTGTTTTACTGATTCTGCAAGGCCACCCTCTGAGTTTGGACTGTTCCCCTGACACTTAGCCCATCTGTTGGTGTTACTGCGAATTGCTCAATTATCCTTTTTTTCTTTACTGGCTGACTCTCTAGGAGAGCAAGATCAGACTACAGCAACAACAATATTCTTTGCCTCCTTCCCACTGTTGCTTGTATAAACTCCATCTTTCCAACTCTGTGTTTTACATCTCATCTTCCCCAGAGCCTAATGCTTACCGCAGCATGGTGGGTCGAGCGGTCAACAGCACCCAGTTAGCTCAGGACTACACCAAGCTGAGGACCCTGCTGCAGTCTGTGCGCTACTACCATCGAGCTCACCTCTATGGACCTAACGCGGGACGGCCGCGGAAGAATGCCATTCTGCTGCTGGACGGGTGAGTCAGCGAGTAAAAACACTTACAGATTGCCAGTTGACGGCAGGATGCTTACACCCCTGTTACGTCTCGTGTGCAATGTGTAACGCATGCAGACGTAAAAGTGGGGCTGGGGAAGGAGGGGGTGAAAGGTAGTGGAAAGTATTCCCCAGCCGTTAGGATATTTTACTGAGCTTTACTCTGTTTAATGCACACACACACACACACACACACACACACACACACACACGCGCACATGCACCGAACACACACACATCGTGGTGGTGTTCAGTGTTTATGGATTTCCACTTTGCAGGTCTTTCAGGGTCTCAGCTCCAGTTAAATAAAGTGTCATCTGATTGATGACGTGACGGCACAATGTCCCACCTGCTGGTTTAAACCCAGTAGCCCCACTAGCCCCAGTTTGACTCTGTCAGCATGTCTAACAGCTCTCTACTAGACTGCAGCCCGTACTATCCCGAGGTTTTAATGTCCAAATAAAGACCACATCAGCATTTTTTGTTTGTTCTTTTAAACTTCTCTGTTAAATAATTTAAGTCTTCAGATAAACTTTATACCTACACAACTGCGAATGGTTTTATGTGATGAAAATATTAAAGTGCAATACTTCCTTTACTAAAAAAGGGACAATAACCACACACACCATATTTAGCTGCGACAAGGTTACATAATTGAATTAATGTGATTATGTAACTAAAAGGACGATATGTCACATCTTTGTTTGCAAAGCACTTGAGATTTTAGCACGGCAGCTTTGTTTATACAGCACACTTCAAACTAAATAAAGACGCAATTGAAATGAATTTACATAGACACATTTAAAATGATGAGAAATGAAAACCATGAACAAACTATGACAGATAAATAAAACACATTAATGAAGAAGGAATGCAAAAGTGGGTTGATATCAAAACTGAGGGACACAGAATGAAAACATGAATTGGGTTTGGGTTTTTTTCTTTTCATCTTCTTCATTTTACATCACTGACCTGCCATATAAATGGCATTACTGATAATATTGTGTACACAGTGATTTCTGAAATATTTTGCTGTTCAATTTTTTGTTAAAAAATTGCTAAAAAATCACAACTTTAAGCGGACAGGTTCAGGTTGGTCCTGGGATTAACCACTGACGCTAAACAGGGAATCTATCAAATTTCTATTTTGGAGATTTTGACCATTAGAAGTGACTGAGATAGAGTATTTAGCTCAGGCTTTAACAGGGGACAGCCCTCCTATAATAAAGTTAATCCAACTCATTCTAAAACAACATATGTGTGTGCTAGTGCATGTGCTGTTGAATCACGAGAACAGCTTAATATTTCAGTGCCCCACGCACATTTTGACAGGTCGTTCAAAGATTTAGGAGGAAGCGTTATTTGATATGAGCCTCCCTGGACTCAACTACTTGAGCTACTTATATTAGTGGAACCATTAGAAAAAGCTGTTTAATCTCCCTAAGTCCTGACGGTTCAAATTTTCTCATAAATAAGAGGTGTGGGTTGTTGTGTGGACCGTTTTGTGTTTGTGTATTGTACAGTTCAGGCAGATTGATGAGCAGTGGACTCGGAGGAAAGGGAGGATGGAGAGGATGAGTTGTTAGAAGAGGAGGAGGAGGAGGATTGAGAGCATGAAGAGGAGAGAGCTGGAGTATCCACAGGTCACAGGTGTCACATTTAACAGCGGAGTGATTTTGTGTGTTTGACAGAGTTACGAGGGGGGTGGCTCTCGTGTTTGACAGTCGGACTACTCTGCCGCTCTCAGGAAATAAGATGAATCAGACACTGAGCTACTCAACAGTCCAAATATCAGAGCAGGGCAGACTAAACAAGCCAGAGCGGTGAAAGTTTAGAGACACACATTGTCTGACAAGCTGTTACCCCCTAATATGGAGCGATTTGGGTTAGGTAGACTGCGAAAACACACACACATATACACACACACACATACACGGGTGCAGAAGCTCAGGAGAAAGAAGGAAGAAGAGACTGTATGTGTTGGAAATGTGTTTGTGTACAAGGGTCCACTAAAAGACTGGATTCACAGCATTTTTTGTGGTTAAAGGAACAGTTAGGTATTTTTGAAGAGGGTTGTATAAGGTACTTGTCAATACTAAGTAGCCACAGGAGATGCCTGTCAGTGTGGCCCCTTTATTGAGAGACAAGCCAGAGAGTAGGCACAGAAGCTAGACTACAGTATATGGCTATACAGACTTGGTCATTTGTTTCATGTACTTTAACTAGTTTTAAGAAAGAAAACGAGCAAAAAATCACATCAGGATAAATTGAGGCTTTGTTTAAAAGCTTTTCCACTAGTGAGCCACTTTGTTTTATCACTACTTAGTCACACCACATGCATGTTGCTCTGCCTGCAGCACACTGATCGTCTACCTATTTAAGGATTAGGTAGAGGCAACTTGCCACCAGAAAACTATGATCTAATTCACATAAACCAGGTAGAATTGAAACGTTCTGCTTCAGTGTGAACCTACTGTACTTACCATAGTGGGGCAGCCATGCAAGTTTTTGTGCAATGAACGTAAAGAAATCACCTTCTCCAAATAATTTGGTGTGAAACGAGGATATGTTGTTTTACATCCTCTCTGTCCCTTCTTTAAACATGCTTGTGATATTTCCACTTCTCAAGTCTTTATGGGTCAAATATGAATGGCCATGACTGTGAAAGTAAGACTCAGGTTTCTTTAGCTGCCAAGTAAAATTAACTCTGTTTTTTCTGACTTTCAGGTTCATGAAGGATGCCGGCTCTGTTGTAGACGCAGTTACGTGGCAACAGTAGGTATTTTACCCTTTTTTTTCTTTTTTTATTATCTTGTCTCCAGAGATACCAGAATTAATCTGCTTAGACTACTAAACTAATAATGAATCTTACAGCACGTATCATGTTGTGGTTTTATACCATTATCAACACATGTAAGGAGTAGCTATTGCTAACAGTTGCTAACACCATTACTAAGAGAGATAGTAATGCATATTATGGAGAGATGTGTTTGTGAAAGTGTGTGTGTGTGTGTGTGTGTTAAATTAGTAACACTTGCTGTTTGTCTATTGCACATCCATTAGGAATGCTTACAGACGTATCGGTTGTTTGATCTTTCCCACGTGTTTTATCTGCGCCTCTTTACACGCATTTGTAAAATGTGCACAAAGGACACACCCACTGTGAGCTCAGACAAGCCCTGTGTCTGAGTGAGCGACCATTTAGGTGAAGGTCACATCTAATTAGGAGAAATTAGAAGAAAAGGAAGGAGGCAGGGCTGTCAGAAAAACACCACCCAAACAGTTGAAACTAAACCACATGCTCTGGATCATTCCCTCGGTCAATTAGCCCGTTTTACACTAGAGGTGCGGATTCCTGTCTAACCAGGCTGCGTGACACAAACTCTGACCTCTACAAAAGAAGCCAAACCTATAAAGTGTAGAACACTCATTAACACGTCTACGGTACAGGTTTTACTCCTCTGCAACTGGTTCCAGTTGTTTTGAATCAAACGTTGTATGTCGGCTAAGCAGCATTGACTCTAAAGTGTGTGTCTGTCTATAGATGAAGGCAGAGGTGGCCTGTAGGCGCTCGTGGTGATGAAACATATGTTCTACGGTGAAATATTTGTGCACATCCGTGTCCACAATACGTGTGGTTAGTTCATGTTATGATGTTTGCTTCACAACATTGAAGCTTCACATTCACCACATCCTGTATTAGTTACTGCTCATGATCAGTCTGTCCCTCTCTCTCTTTCCATTTCTCTACAAAATGAAGTTAGCAATCGATTGCTTGTATGTGCAAACAATGGCAAACAATCTTGGCCATCAAGCTGATTCTGATTTTATTTAACTATATAGAGTAGAAAGAGTGTTCTTGTCATTTACTTATGTATTTTCTAGAAATGGTTGCCTACATGCCTTGATGTAAAACTTTATTCAGTGTTACTTTCAGATACTTTAAACCCAGATGTGTCTTTTGCAAAGAAAAGGGATATTTTATCTCAATGATTGAAAAAAAATCTCAAGTGATATGCATCTAAGTTAAGCCAAGTCAACGTATTAACAAAGCATATTTCAAAAACAGCAATAATGACCAAAGTGCTTACAACCAAGGCAGGCAGTAAAATGTAAAATTTAATCACAGTACAAGACTAAGAGCAAACACATACATAAAAACTATCCATCCATCTATTATCTATACCGCTTTTTTCTGTTCAGGGTCGTGGGGGGGCTGGAGCTGATCCCAGTTGTCATTGGGCGGGAGGCGGGGTACATCCTGGACTGTTCATCAGTCAATCACAGGGCTGACATATAGAGACAGACAACCTGCCACACTAACATTCACACCTACTGGCAATTCAGAGTCGCCACTTAACCTAACAAGCACGTCTTTGGACTGTGCGAGGAAGCCGGCGTACCCGACTCCAGTCCGACGAGATTTGAAATAGGAACCTCCTCGCTGTGAGGCAACAGCGCTAACCACTGCACGACCGTGCAGCCAGACAAATACCCAAGAATAAAACATACGAATAAAAGAGAAAAGAGCAGAGATAAAACCATAAACAGATTATTTTGCATGAGAAGAATTGTAGTTATAAGTACATAAAAATAATAAAAATGAATAGAATTTAATTCTTGATTGTCACTCTACATAAAATACAAATCAAGTATTCATAGCTATTTCTCCACAAGTGAAAAGAAGAACATGGTTCCATTGTAAACAGATTACATAGTGATCTATGAATTATTCAGCACAAAAAGTATGTTTTGTCTGGAAACATGTCCCTGTTGAGTTGTTAATGACGTTCCTTTAAAGCAGGAAGGACGAGCATTAGTCTGTATTTTAGTCAGTCTTTCATAAGGTCTTGCTGGCACATCACAACAACTATGTGACAGCAAAGAACATTTTAAAAAAAAGCTATTTGGTGAACCCTGATTAGTGTTTTTTTGGGATTCAGACATTTGTGATATCTCTACAGATATCAGATATATTTCTGTCAAAATGTGGTAAAGATATTCATGTCAAGAGGAACAAAATGTTATGATTTTGTTGATCTCTTAATTGTTTGTGTGGCAAAATGTTGCTTGCTAACACACTTAACTACTGTAAGATGGTCAACATTAAGATCAAAACAGCAACAAGTGTTGAAAATGTGTGCATGTAGAAAGCTATTGTTAGCCCCACATTTCGGCCTCATGAAGGAGCGCGTCTGGCCGTAGACTGTCTGTCTGTTCGGCCCTAACTAACAGAGGCTGTAGCATGGTGAGAACATTAAGCCATGGAAAATTTTGTTATCAGTCCGCTGCCAGTTCTTGCTGTGAAAATATGAGAAAGAAAAAGTGAACTGGACAAATTTACGATTTGCTGTTTAAATGCCCCTGAGCAACACACTTGATGCTCTAGTTCTAATTGTTCCAGCTGTAAGGTATAAGTGGTGTGAACATCTGAGTGTTAAACAAGAAAACCTCCTAAACTTGGTTCAATTATGAAGTGATGAAAGGTACACTTTAACTGCTTTGCTTTTAAAAAAATGAGCACTTGTACTTAGCAGTGAGGCCTCAGAGAAAATCAAAGCATTCACTTTGTTATTACCTTCATTAGTTTTTTTCTGATTGAAGCAACGTGGTGTTATTAAACTGACCATGGTGACACATAATACTCACATTTTTCTACCTATTCATCACGTAACAGGGGTTCTAATAATAATAATAATAATAATAATAATAATGTATACTTTATTGATCCCGCGAGGGGAAATTCGTTTTTACACTCTGTCTAGTTAACATGCTACACAAACATAGGCTGAAATGCACAAACAGGATTCTGCATGCCATAGATAGAGCATGGTGTGCAGGTTATTTATAGCTTAGGGCAGACAGAAAGACTCACTAAAGATTTGTGATCTTCCTCTTTCTAGCTTGAAAATCTTGGAGGGATTGTAAATTCAGGGGGGTGATTCATATCTTTCAAATGTTCTGTAGTGATTACCTACAGTATGGTGCACATCAATGAAAACATCCTCTTCTTACATTGATTCCTCTCTGCTTTCCCAAATGTATTTACTTCACCAGATGGTCATTTCTAGACTTTTGGTGTGAAGTAAGACTCCACTTGTAAGACTTAAGCAGAATACTTTACGATACAAAAAGAATGTATTTTGTGATCATCGGTTTAAGGAAGAAGAGGCTGGAAATCAATACAAGCCAATATTCTTAATCGGTTTTAAATTGTATTTCACTTTGTGGTACTAAGATACATGACTACAACAAAAACATATCTTTTATGTGTCAAAGAATAACAATGTTAACACTCTGAGACAGGGATAGAATGTGTCACCTGTGACCTGTGGATACTCCAGCCCTCTCCTGCAGTAAAGATGAGTACAAAGGCAGCTTAAATAAAGAAATAGATATCACTCGGTCTGTGTATCAGGTTGCTTTATCCTAATGAAGTAGAAGTTATTTTAAACACAGTATATGTGCATAGCTTTGCACTTGATGCAGTTTTTTAGTTAACAGGCACATCCCTGTCAAAATCTTGTAAGAGTGTCCTCTGCGAGTACTTGTATTAAAGGATCCATTTCTCTCCACCATTTCCTTTGATTTTCAGAGCACTATCAGGACTTTTAGTTTCAGTAGGGTTTTCAGGATCTATTCCACCCCTGCCTCTATTCATCTCAATCATCAAATCTATTTATTTAGTTTGTACTACTTTTATGTCGTGCTACATAGTATTATCAATTATCGCCTTTTGTTGTGGCAATCAGTGAGTGCAGTGGAAAACAAGCTGAACAAGGAGATGTTGACTTGAAAATACTCGGACACAGAGTTGTTGCTTTCATGATTTTATTTGTCATTTTGGCAGTTAAAGTATCATTCTCCATTGTGGATGAACAAAGGAAAAGTTGTTGGACGTGAGTGATTTTTATAGAAACCAAACATTGATCAAATCAAGGCTCGTCAAAATACTATAAATCTTTTTATTTTCATCTGTTTATGGGCTTTCTGCTTGAATTAACATGAATATTTGTTTTGAGAAGAAATTCAATCTTGCCTCATTAACTGACACTTTTAAAAGACTGAAGCTGTAAACTCTATGTCGTACAGTTTGCAGGGCGCAGAGTAACTTCGACTATCTTTAATACGTTTTCCATATATGAACTGGAATTCCTCCGGCTGAGAGCTGCACTGAAGACTTATTGTGAGCTCTCTGGAAAGATGACAGGATAACCAAATGATTTGTGTGAATTTATGAAGTAATCTGTGTGTTGTTTACAGTTTGAGGCCAGGAGCCGGGGACTTTTCCCAATACTGTGACGAAAATTTCAACCAGGTTAAGCTCAGATTGCAACACTGCTTCAACGACAAAATTATCTGTTCCCAGCGGTTTTTGACATGTTGCATGTTGTGATGCAGATTTGGCCATGAGAATATGATCTCTCTGTTGTTTGGTTTCATCATTCACTAAGTGATTGACCATTTGCACTGATCCCCATTTGATTCATTTTTGACTCAAACTAGTCTTGTTTACTATCAGTGTTTACCTAACTTTAGTCCATGTGTACATTACATTTCATAGTTTTATGTAGATTTTACTTAAATCACTGAAAGAAAAACTCAAATATCAACAAAACACACAGGACTGAAATGAGCTGTTCTGATAACATTTGTTGTCCAGAATATTCAAAACAGAAATCTGATTTGCCACGACGCACAGATTTGTAAAACCTTCGCTACCTGGTAAAAGTTTTATTGTTGTACAAAGTCAATATATTCTATATTCTGCTGGGAGTATTGTTCAGAACAGAGTCAGAGAACATATATTCTTAACCACTCAAAGTAAAATGTCTGTTTATGGGTTCTGTTCATTAACAGGTTTTTATGTCGTTGCATATTGGAAAATAAGAAACTACAGACATGTCTGAGATAGGCCTACATAAGCCTGGTAATACCAGCTGACGTAATAATGTAGTGCTACTGTAGCATCCTTTTATAATATTTTTTACTTTTTAAACACCTTATTATTAACTGTACCCTAAAGTCATTTACATAATATTCTCAGTGATAGGCTGTTATTTGTTTCCAATCACGAGAGTTTCATTTCCAGACTTTCACCCTGGCTAACTTTGCTGAATTCTTCTGCAGTACAAGTAATATGTAACAGTTTTTATGGGACCTGAAACATAGACTAGAATAAGGGGTTTCTTGTTTTTCTCTCTTGGACTCTTGCTTGGATTCTTGGAGAGGCTTTACCCCGAGGGATGATGTTGTTCTAACTACCAAAAAAATCTCTTTGTCTCATCATGCTTAACGTCATGTCTCATTATCATCTTTGTTTGTCTCTTAATCCTGGACACATTAGACACACACACACACACACACACAGATGGATGTCTACATTATTCCCATTCCTATGTCTCCATGCTTCCAAGTCACCAATTCTTCTCTTATGCAACCACACTTTTTAGCATATAATTGTTCTGTCAGTGCTCTTAAGTGTTATTTAATATGTCAGTTCCTGAACACTAAAACACTCTTTTGTATACTACATGTATCAGACCAATGTCTGGATACTCAGTGGTTTGGATTCAAACCCTGTCGTCCATAATGAGCCAAAGCGATGTTGATGGGGAACCCAGGCTAGTGTGTGTACTTCTTGTTATACAGTTGAAGTTACATTGACCAAGCCTGCCGTGTATTATGCTGTTATAGTAGCCCATTTCCGACTGCAGTTCTGCAAAAGCACCGTAACAAAGCTCAGCCGTCATCATGTCTTTGTAAATTCATATTGCTTCCTCAACGTTGTAATATTTTTCTCCCAGTCTGTGCATTCACATTGAGTGTCAGCGTTGCAGAAGCACGACACAGCGGGAGCTCAACATACACACACAGTCAGACATGCTCAAACACACAGTGCTTCACGGGGGCGGGGAGGGCTGGCTCAGGTGATCCAGTCTCTCCCCTGTAACTTCTCGGTTACTACCTCAGAACACGGTACAGAGTCCCTTCGTCCTATTCGCTCCTTAAAATGGCAGTTTGAATAGAGCTAGTGTTATACCATTTGACCGGACACTTAGATTTCATTTGACTTGTTTTCTGTTTCATACATTTTAGACACACAGGAAGTAGACAAGGGATTTTCTGTGCAGTTTGAAGTACACTTCCTAACTTTAAATTTGAATTACTTGTGCAGAGTGTGGATGGAAAAATTGATTAATAGATGGATGGATGGATGAATGGATTGGGAATTAACATTAAACTTGTACATGTCAGTTTATTTATTTTAGCACCTGTGCTGCTATATATGTGTTGTTCATGTTGTAAAGGGTGCACAGTGTTTTTCTCTCACAGTTCTGCCCTTGCATTACAGTTACTACATGGATGGCAGAGTGAACAAAGTGGAGGATTTCCTAAAAACTCGCTTGTTGGACACACTAACAGAGCAGATCACTAAAGTCACCAAGGTACCTACATTTTTCTCAAAGTCCTGAAATGTAACTTCTGCTAAATCTCACAATATTTATATAAACAGAATGCTTTGCTTAGAGTATAATGTATGTAATCAGTCAACTATCAGTATTTCTTGGCTGCTCTGTATCTGTTCCTGGTCAGTTCTACATCTGTACTGTTTCGTGGTCTTTCACTTTACATGACTCATTTTCATCAATCAAGCCTTTCAGAGAACTTATGGAAGAAAATTAAGAAACTTCATTTAATCATAAGATAATGATGGCTTCCTTTACCAAGTTATTGATTGACCTTCAGGAAGTTTTTGTACTACAAAAGTGTAGCCTTGGGGTAAAATGTCTGTGTCCAACATTTGGTGCGAGACGAGCAGCACCTAGGCTATATGCCCCAGGGAAAGAGGGAATCAAACCCACAAACTAAACTCAGAAAAGTACATTTATGTTGTGGTTCTATTGTGCAGAACTGCTTAAAGTCACTGAGATAATGTTTTTTTGTCTGTTTTTTGTTTGTTTTTGCTTTGCGTATATTACTATTCTGTGTGTGTCTTTGTTACAATGTATATTTTCATAATTGTGTTTTTGCTGGCTGGACTCCTATAACATTTACTTCAGCCCTAAAAGTCCCTAAAATTCAGTTGATTTCAGCATGGATATTGTTCAAAGACCCGTGTTTCCATTGGTGATTTCAGGTTGTGAACACACATACACCTGGTAAGAAGGTGTGGCTGGGTGGACTGGGGCCAGCGTGGGCAGGGGGCGTCAGTAATCTCTCAGATACATACGCTGCTGGCTTTCTGTAAGTCCTGTTATCATACAGTGATGCTTTCTGTAGATAACCCTACCTCTAAATATACTGAACTGAACCAACTGCAGAAGAAATCTTTAATATTTGTTAAGAGAAAAGTATTTATTCCCATTGCAATGTGTTTTTTTTTATTGGAAACATGACAATCAAAGGCATCAAATGTTAATTCCTTTCTTTCTCCCTTTGTGTGTTCCTGTATTCCAGATGGGTAAACACTCTGGGTATGGCTGCTCTGCAGGGGATCGATGTCGTCTTGCGTCACTCTTTCTTTGACTATGGATACACACATCTTGTGGACCAGCAATTTAACCCTTTACCTGTAAGTTTCCCATCATAGTCAAGGCTGTTAGATTATTTTCATTATGATAAGGAAGGGTGAATTTCAGCCATGTCTTCTTGAACTAACCAGACCAGACCTGTTACAGTCTGGACCTCAGACCCAGTACCACGATGGCACCTCTCGCTCTTTCCCGTGGGAGCTATTAGGAGAGATGAAAGGCGTTTAGTGGTGATGATTGGTTAGACGTGGGGGCGAAATGCCATGAAACCTTAGCCTTTTGTCAGTTGTTCAGGACAGTGTCACTGCTCCCCTCATCCCCCATCGCCACTGTGTGCTTCTCTGTGCGGGACTGTCGGCCGCTGAGAGATCTGCAACCTGAGATGCTGATACACAGGCATGTTTGTAAAATAGTCTGTGACACTGTTTGAAATGAAACCAGCCCAATCCCAGGTTCCTCTGTGGTTTAGTCCAGAATTTACAAAAACAGAAATACAACAAGCTTAGTCAAAACCACTTCTTTTTTATCATCTGAAAAACACGAAACAAGAACCACACAGATGTGCAAGAGGCAGATATAAAGATTTTAACTTTACTTTTTTTAATACTCAAATATGAAGATGTGATTTTCTTTGATACTTTATTTCTTTTATAAAAATATATAAATTAACTGATTTCATTCTGCTGAAAACAATGAATTTCAAGTGTGAAGGACTGATCAAATGCAACCCCCAGACAAGTTCATAAGAATATTTATTTACTTAATAGAAAAGGGGTTTTAACAAGCTGATGCAGAGCTTGGGTTAAAGTTTTACATTGATGATGTATGCAGTAAATCATGGTTTCTACATTAAGCATAAATTATAGGATTTTAAAGTTTGATTCCTTCATCTGTGTCCATCAAACAGAAATAGCTCTACAAAGAATACACATGTAGAATAAAAGTAGGCAATCAAAGACAACATTTTTAGCTGCTAATGTTTTTGGGATCATGATCCTTCCTTAGTTCCTTACTTCCATTAGTTTTTTCTCTCTACCCAGTACGCCCTTTCCGCCGCCTTGCTTAAACGACACAATATGAAACAATCGAGATGAGTTCATTTTCTTCCCTTTTTCTTCTCCATTATTTTTCTGGGAATGATGATCCCCCGTCGGGATCAAAATGCTTTTAACATGGCTGGATGTCTGAAGGCTGCACCAGCCAACCTGCTGAGAGAATTCACTGCAGGGCCAACGTGTCCTTTGCATGGGAAATTTATGACTTGGACCCTTCTGCTATAGTATAACCCCCCATTAGAAGAATCCAGTCAAAGCCTGTCGTCCACTAAATGACTCAACCACTGTTTTTCAACACTAATCCCTTCTTTTTAAGGTCCCAATTTTCCTTCCCTTTCCTTTTTCGTTGTTGTTATCCACACATTCCTGTTGTGTGCTTCTTGAGGTCTGTTGTAAACTCCTAAACCAAAGTGAGGCATGCTTTTGTCTGGGATTCATGTTAGTATTTAGTGTAGGGGAAAGCTTGCCCTTATAATGGTCTGAAGGGAGGGGTGTTTTCAGGTGGACAAATACAGTTGTCTAGTCACGAGGCTTTGCATAAAAATAAAACAGGTAGACAAAGCAGTCCCTCCATTTACAAATTAAAAGTGCTCCTCCTCAAATTTAACTCTCCAACCCTAAAAGATCCAAATAAATGCACTGGGTATATTTGAACATACTGTATTGTTTCCATATCAAAGGTTGTTTTCTGTTTATTTTTAAAAGCTATTATCTTTTATTATCTTATGGGAAACTCAATTAGAGTATTGTTCTGCTTTTCATGGATGTAGTTCATTTTTAGATACGGACATGTAGAAATCACTGCAGTGTCATAGTTTAAAACTATTCTTTGATCTTAGTATTGTTTCGTATTCAATGCATCCCAGCCAGGCAGCCTGACTCTCATTTAGGCTATTTAGCTAAACACTAAAGGTTAATCCTTATTCCCCTTGTTAATGTCTTCTTATTCCCTAGACTGTGCAGCTGAGGTTTGATTGGTCTCGGGTGTATGGTTTTACTCTTCTGGAGTTCTTGGCATGTTACTGCTTCTCTTGTGCCTTCCTGTCTTTCTCTCTGCTTCTTGGTCTGTGTTGCATGTTAATTGAATGATGATGTCCGTCTTTTTGTCTGTCTTCCTCTGCACATATGGAGGGGTTGGTTTGTTGGCCAACAAGAGCCAAAATATATTTTTTTGGAGAAACGGGCTGCAAATTCAGAAATGATGAAAATTCAAAAACAAATTTAAATCAATAAGAAAAAAAAAGATGACTTGCTGCATATGAAAATCAGGCTGTGGAAAGCCTAAACAAATGCATTATAAGCAAATGTGCTGCAGATACAGAAATGCAAAGTCAAAAACAAGAACAACAGAAAACAGATACACTTTTATTTCACAGGAGAGATAGAGGACAAGCAATAAAATAATTTATTGATTATCAAAGCACAAAATGACAGACATCCACACAGCTGTTTCTGAGCACCAAGCTTCACTGAAGACAGTTTAAAAATCTGACACTAAAACTTAAGCTTTGGTTATATTTATAGAGACATGGTTTCTGAATGCTTTGTTAAGGTAAGTTGCTAAGTGATACTTTGGACATTGAAGGGGTTGTTTCTATATATTTCTCGAAGTAAGTCATGAGCATCAAAACTGTTGGGTTGTTTAACCAGAATCCATTTACAGTAATCGTCACCTCCAGGGTTGGCAAACCTCCTTTAAGTTCACTGGATTTGTAGCATTCTTCTTTTGCATTTCTTTTCTGGGTATGAGTGTTTTTGACTTTGCGTCATTTCTGCTTTTGCAGCTCGTCTGCTGTTGATGTATTTGTTTGGCTTTCTTGTCATGTTCTATCATTTGCAGCACATGTCCATTGTGGGTTTTGTTTTGGAACATTGCACGTGTTTTTTTGTATGTGTTTGCATAATTTTTGAATATGCAGTCTGTTGTGGCAGTGTGTTTGCCCCTTTTTGGCCATTGTAGTTTGGTGCAAGATGAGATGAGAAAGACAGGAAGACAGGCGGTCAGCAAGACAGGAAAACCGGCAGGCAGACAGACCTCTTAAGATCTAGGACTAGAGAGGGTATTTCCCAAATAATTTCAGTATCATGCAAGTATCACTTCCTCTTCTGGTCCAGGATTTAAACACAGCGGTAGTGGTAATATATATGAATTCATTCATGTTTTCTTTCACTTGAGTTTTGAAATTTAAACACAAATCAAGAGTATAACATCACTCCAGCTATCTTACACAAATACAACTTGTAGTCTCATAACTGTTCTTTGTTTTATACACTGTGTAATGATCGGAGATCACAGTTCTGTGCATCCACCCATCCCTCTGCCTGTGGCCAACACTATACAGTTCCATACTGTGCTCTCCTTCTTCGATGCCTTGGCAGCAAATTAAGTTAAAGCCTGCATGGAAAAAAGAAGCCCTTAAATGTTGCCATATGCAGGATTGCATGGGAACTTCCTGAGGAACACATGTTGTTCTGGGTCTCTCGGAGAGGTGTTGAGTCTGTGTAGTCTTTAGAGTGAGGCTCAGTACGGTGGACCACTCAACAATGATAACACAAAACATCAATTCATGATAGAGCAAAATATTTTGTAAAAATGTCACATTTAAGACCTGTCAATTCCAAACCGGTCAGTGTGGTACTTGGATACTATGTGACATGTTGCACAGGACGATCAGCTCCAACTGAATGTTTGGTGTCAAAGTGCTGACATAGTTGAAGCTGACATTATGTGAAATATTTTCTCCTTTTTATTTGTGATAGACCTGCTGCTCTCCTGGCACGTTATGCATCCTCACAGTTTTGGAAATGTTATCTTTTTGGACAATCACCATGACATTTTCTTGGATGAATAAACAAAAAGGACATTTTAGCAATACTTCCTTTAAAGGAAATTAAGAATCTATTATGGTCCAAGTGTAATAAAAAGTCTCTTGCAATAAAACCCTTGTTTTCCATTTAGCTGTGTATTTACCTACAGCACAGTTGGCAATGCTTTCAAACAATTTCCCGACTGTCATGAGATCAGGTCTTTAAAACCGCCTCCCCACACCTGCCTGCTTTCCTGTATCTTTAACAACAAACAGGTGACACCTGCCTTGAGCATCATGACGATAAAATGACTGTCATAAAAGTCAAATGTGTTTTTGTGTGTGACTGTGTTTGATGGTGTTACCTTTGCAGGATTATTGGTTCTCTTTGGTCTTCAAGCGCCTGGTTGGTCCAAGGGTGTTGGCTGTTCGGGTGGCTGGACTACAGAGAAAACCGCAACCAGGACGAGTCATACGAGACAAGCTGCGTATCTACGCCCATTGTACCAGCTACTACAAGTATGTACTGCAGCTGAACCGCCCTCTCTTAGTTTATAGCCTGCTTTTAAACACAGTAACAAGCTAGATCATCATCATATACTGGGATTTCTTCTTCATTTGAGGCCAACTGATGACAAAGCGCACATCTTTCTGTGCTTTCAGTAATGTTCAGCAATACTTTGGGAATGTCCTTGAAGATTTAGATGGAAAGCAGACCCCTGCGGTTTAACTTTTTCTACTCACTGTGTCCTCCATGCAAACACCTGAGGCTCAGTCTGGTGGGGAAGAACAAAATCCCTTGCCAGCCCATTCAGCTTCCCATAAATAAGCAGACGGCAGACACCCGCTCATTCACAGCTCGGAGACTATAAAACTTAACGGGTATCACTTATCAGGTGTGTGGCTTATGCCTCGCTGTCGTCAAAGAGCCGCTGAAAGAAGTGCAAGGCCTTCATCCCATCTCGGATTGGCTGGAGGGGGTATTTGAGGGGGAGGGGAAGGGACAATAAGGCGGTCTGTGCCACCGTGGCCTGTTCAAGGTTATCATTTAACCCAGACCAGTGGCTGTCAGCACCAGGCTAGACTTACTGCTTTACTCTAGGCAGGGCTCGTTTACAGCTGGAGCATCTCTCAGACAAATAGTGGAGCGCTGCACAGATAGACGATAGATAAACATGTCGGAGTTGCATAACTGAAACACACAGCCGCATGAGGCCTGATGACACTCACGCAAATATTTGAAATAGTTTTCAACAAGGGACTCCACTTAGCCACCTGTAATGTGTAATGTTTAATGGGATTAAAGAGAGGCTCATTCCCTTCATTCACATGAACTTCCTGCCAGAGTGCTGTATGCTGTGGTGTTGTACAAAAAAGATAATGTGATTAATATTTATAAAATCATTGCTTCTTGATTGATAATAACTGAAAGGTTGGGGAAAAATGTGGAGGGACATGAGGTCATAATTCAAGCTAACAACATATTCTATAAGTCATAAATAGCTACCAGAGCTACATTAGCTTAATTACTCCGCATTCAAGTAATTCTCAGCTTACATTTCCAGCTAGCTAACATTCCTGTAAGCGAGGAATTTCATATCTCTTCTAATATGGCTTGTAATACAATTAATAGGCATGTTAGTAAGATAGTGGTTCCTCGTGTCCGCTGAGAGCTCTGGAAAAGAGCAATTAGTTTTGCTTCCCCCGCTCTGCATGGAACGTTCTCCAGAATAACTTGAAACAGGCAGATCTCATTTCACTTGAAGCCTTTGGCTCTACATAAATGACAAAAAGGTGAAAGCATCAGAGGGTGCCTGTGTTTTTGAATTGTTTTATGTGTTCACAACAACTGCACTTCATCTGCGAACTGATTTGCACGTTTTAAATTGTTGTTTGCTCTTATTGTTTGTGAACTGTTTCTTTATCACGTTATGGTTGTTTAGGACGTGTGCTGCTGCCCTCTTGGCCAGGTAACCCAACGAGATCTTGATCTCATTCGGTTAATTACTGGTTAAATAAATAAAAAAATCTAATGTTAGCTGTTGTCAAACTGTTGATTTAACTTGAATTATGGTCCGATGTCCCCCCAGATTTCCATTAACTGTTGTTTTTCATCAAAAACCCAAAGGGACATCGACCATATTTTAAATTAAAAGTAGTATAACTTGTAACGTATATATTATTATCAGTTAGAAAGCCGTCAAAGATGACAACTTGTTTGGAAAGTCTATATGTGTAATCTGTCCACCTGGAACACAGCAGTACAACATCGTCGCAGCATTTTAGATTCCCGTCCTCAGCCTGACATCTGAGAACTAAAATGGCCGCTGTGTGAAAACGCTGGCATTAGGTGCTGCACGGCTTAACTCAGCATACCAGTCACCCCTGGACAATGATCAGACAGAGAAGCGCTAAAGCAGACCCTCTTGAATCCAGTCCATCTTGCCATGATTTCTGCCAGGTTGTGGTTGTGCACAGTTCAGTTCTTAAGTGGACGAACCATTGTAGTCTTAGTGGTTAGACTGTTTTGTGTAAGACAGCAGAGAATATAAATGTACTCAGGCAGTCGGCGGTTTGAAAAGTCTTAGCAGTTTAGATATTTGACTTTCACTGCCCTTTTACCCCTTTTAGTGGTTTGCACTGCTTTTTTTTCACTTTCCACCGATGCTCCGACATCAAACAGCATCAACACATGTTTATGTTCCTGGTTTGGATCCTTAAGAACCTCATCATTCGAAAGGCCTGAGGGGTCATTATCTCTCCCTCCATCTAACCATCTGATGTACAACTCCGAGGCTTGTTTCTCAGAAACCTGGACCACGGCTCCAAGAGTTTAACTCAGAGCCAGACACACAGCTTACCCATCTGTAGAACCGCACTCTATTTCTCTCAGTCCATATATTGAATATTAGCAGTCATGCAGGGTTAATGAAATAAGTTGCTCTCAAAGTGCCCAAAAGAACACGGATAACAATCAAAACCAAAAACCAGGATTCTTTTTCAGATATGAGATTTTGGTGGTTACAGGGAGAGTTGTCTGCCAGACTTTTAGCCAAAAAAACATCCTGACCCTGAACACCAAGGCCCACATGTGGTATTCACTACAGCTGTGTTGTCTTTGTCCTCATATCTGGGCCCTTTATTAGATTTTATCATGTTGGTCTTATCTCGCTCCCTTACTTATTTACCTCTGACTGGTATCCCTATCAAGTTGTGTCCCCAGTGCTTCACTCTCAGGAGAGGGACTCAAACATTGTTGTCGGTGTAACTCAAGAAGTTCCGCTTGTCGCGTTCACACCCTTCATGAGACGCTGATTATAACACTACAGGTTTAAATATTAAAAAACTGTACAAGAGAAGCAGAGTGGGCAGCAGATAGTCACAAAAGGCTTTGAGAATGAAATGTGGTTTATTATGATTTTGACTATATATAGATGGTAAGTCTTAGCCTGTGATGAACTGGCATTCCTTTCCTTTATCTCCCTTTATTACATTTCCCTAAAAACCTTTTGATCCAGATGAGATCAAGAAGTCAGGGATTGATCCTACGATTAAAAGTGACGACAATTTATTATCAAAGCCTTCCTTCTCTTTGTAGTCATCTTTAATTATGGAGAATTTTATTAAAGATGACGTAGCAATACATAAAGAATCCCGTTAAACAGATGTCGAATGGGAGCCTCTAGTTTTTCTGTCTTTATTTTTCCTTCTTCAATGTGAAAATATATTAAATGTTTTTCCCTTTTTTTTCGACCGCGACAGTCATAACTACGTGAGAGGGTCCATAACGATCTACATCATCAACCTGCATCGATCGAGGAAGAAAATCAAGTTGGCGGGGACGTTACGGAACAACACTGTCCATCAGTACCTGCTGCAACCCTTCGGTCCGGACGGACTCAGAGCCAAGTGAGTATCGATCTGAGCTGTTTTTTTTAAATATTAATTTTTGGGCTTTTTGTGCCTTTAATGGAGAGATAGGACGGTGGATAGAGTCGGAAATCAAGGGGAGAGAGTGGGGATTGACATGCGGGAAAGGAGCCACAGTCTGGATTTGAACCTGGGCCGCCCGCTTGGGGCCTCCATACATGGGGCACGCGCACTAACCACTGTGCCACCAACGCCCCCACATGCACACATATGCGCATATAAACACACAGCGTTCTTTTGTTTTCACTTCAAACAACAAGGAGGTCTGATTATATATGATACTGTTCCTGGCCGCACTTTCCCTCCAGTCCAGTCAGTGCTAGCTTTAATAACACAAATGAAACACTTCATATTTTCCCTAATAATGAAACATTTAAAAAAAAGGAATTATTTTTGCACAGTCCAGGGTTGTTCCCCGCCTCTTACCCAATGACAGCTAGGATCAGCTCCAGCAACTCCTCGACCCCGAGGAGTTGCTGGAGCTGCTCCTCGACTCAACGGGAAAAGCGGTAAAGATAATGCATGGATGGATGGATTCTTTTTGCAAGGATCTGAAAGACATTATGAAGAGGGGAAAAGTGCACTGAGAATTTCACAAACAACTTAATTGGGTCTTAAATTGTAAGTATTTTTTTTCCAGCCTTAATTGGTTGTTAAATACAAAGGTTGCAGGAAATTAATTTCAAGCAAACAGTGGGTGGTGGACTTATATTGTATAATTCAGATTGACTTGCCACAACATGTTAATACACACTGGAAAAAAAATGCAAAAGCTAAAAAAGAAGACATTAAAATCTACACTTACATATAAAACACTCCCAGTTTGAAGAGACAGCTTGAAAAGCTAAAACACTGGAAGAATTAACAGAGAGTAAAAAGCTACTAAAAATAAAACACATCGTCAAAGAAGAGAAGTTTCTGTTCATTTGGACTGTCCTGCTGTGTTACTCTGCTTCAGTCAGACTGAAACTTTCCTCTTCGTTTCGAAATAACACGTTGAGTAAATCCAGAGTCGCAGACATCCGATGTGTTTACGGTCGTTTGGCTGAATCCGTTTTATAGACTACAGCAGATGTTTTGTCTGTACGCTTTTTACGTGTTTTTATATTTGTGCCATTTAAACTCCTCCTAAATCCTGTTGAACTAACTTTAAAGAATTACACTTAATGTGATTAAGTAATTTAATTCATAAAACCTTAAAACCTCCCTTCAAATTGAGTCTTTATGCTCTCAGTCTCTTCCTTTCTGCTCGAAGCCCCTGGCCTGTTATTCTGACTCAGACTTAAGCCTCCGATCCTGAAACAACAGCCTAATGACCTGGGACTGTGAGAGTGTGTATGTCTCAGTGTTATACGATACCTACAGTCGGCCTTAATGGAGGCTCAGGCATGATCCTTCAATAACGGCGTAATGATGGAGGATGTTTTAGGTGTTAGAACAGGATTGAAAGGTAATTAATAGCAAAGCAGGCTAACGACGGGCCTTTTTCAGGCTTTAAGTGCTTTCCTTTACCACAGGCAGCGCGGGGAGACTTTTATGAAGAATTTAGCAACACCAGATGTCTATAAATTTGTCTGAGTACTGCGACTTTTTAAAGCCAGCCAAGCACTCAGGTCTTTATTTTGAAAGAACGCTTTGAGCAGTTCAAATTCATAACTTTTGCTTATGGAGCGTAACCTCTTTTGTTATTTTATAGAATCTGAGGTTCACGTAAAATTCCAATTTTAATCGCGAACTTTACGACATAGCCATTTCATAAAAAATATTTACTAAAAACAGCAGAACTGTCGAGTTAAAACATGTGTTAGAGGTGCAACTGAAGCACAAAAACAGAACAAGTTTCTCTTTAGAACATGATTCATATGATATATAACAGTGACCGATAGTTTATACACTACAATGATATCTTAAATGAATTAAAAAAACGATGCATCATTAATTAACACACAAATTGTTTTTAAAGCAGAGTCAGGATGTACAAATCCTGCTGAGTCCTCCATTATATTTCACATGTTTTTTAATGTTTTTGTTTATGGGTCAGCTAAAATTAAACATTACTGATGACATTTAGAGAGTCAGGACAAAAACAAAGTACAGGAAGGTAACACACAAACACAAGGTTACACTTACTCCAGATCCAGTTAACGGTGCAAAGATAATAATAATAATAAAAACTTTATTTGTATAGGACTTTTAAAAACAAGTGATTACAAAGTGCTTTGACACATGCAGAAGCAAACATAACAACAAAGCATAAAAACACAATAACAACAAAAAAACAAAGCAACCCACAGAAGAGACATGAAAGCAAAATCAACAAAACCCCAAAACAGTAAATGAACCCAAACATCATCAGAATTCAAGCAACATAAAACATCTCTTTTATATTTTATTACCCTGACTTATTTGACCTTTATGCTGTGAAATGGTATTATTAAATATACAGCATTATAGAAACCTGTATCTGAGACAAAATTATATTTAAGGAATATGACAAATTAAATCACATCAAAATTATATGTTCTATTATATATATATATTTGTATAGTTTTTAGCTCCAGAACTTGTTCAAAATGTATTAGTGTAATTATGGCTGCAGTATTTAGGATTCACTGTATTAATGCAGTTGATGTCAAACTGTCGGGGAAAAAATGAAAACAATTCTGCAACAACAGCACCCCCAAGTGTACAACTGACAGAATCATAGCGCTTAGGGAGTGAGGTGCATGAATAAACCAGATTTTCTCATCTTTATTTCACATAGTTTTCCACAATAACGAGGTCTCAGGTCTCAGGAAGACAACGCTCAGAAAAACATAAACAGATGAGTTTCACTGACCAAAAAAATCAATGTGTGTTTTCTGTTCAGATACGTCCAGCTGAACGGTGAGAAGCTGCTCATGATGGATAATGAGACGTTCCCTGAGCTGAAGCCAAAAACACTGAGGGCTGGACGGACAATAGCCATGCCTCCCATGACCATCGGCTTTTATGTGGTCAAAAACATAAACGCATACGCCTGCAGGAGATAACACTGACCCCCTTCATCTCTGAGACACAAGCGACAAAAAACATCAACCATCAACCATCTGCCAGTCTGACTTAAAAGCTTCAAACCACTCTAATAATCTTACTGGGGAAACACACTCCATCACCTCTGTTAATATATTTGTTTTAAGTTCTTGTCAACGGTGCAATCCTCCACACGTTTTTCAGTACTAATATTTAAACTGCTCTGAAACATTACACATGATCCTGGATATAGATTTTCTTTTCTCTTTCTGCTCCATCAAAGACATACAGTACCTGCCCGAGTGACTTAAAAAGGGCTGCACTGAACACTTAGTCAATTCTCTTCACCAGCAATTCCTTAAGATTTAAAGGTTTTTGGGTTTTCTTTTTGTAGTAACAAAATAGAAATATCAAATGAGTCTACAATATTTAACCTGTTTAAGCTATTTTCTTCTTCTTCTGGGTTTATATATTTTTACTTTTGCACTCTCTTTCCCCCCTAATCTTTCTCTGGGTGACGGACAAAACGTCTGAGAGAAATCCTCTGAACAGGCGGTGAATCTGAAGCTAACACAAGTCAACTTCAGTTTAGCTTGATCCTTTCCACACAGAGAAAACGCTGCCGTGTGTTCAAGGTCATTCCTGGACTTACCAAGATCTCTGTGTGTGTTACGTGTGTGTGTGTGTGAGTGTGTGTGTGTGTGTGTGTGTGTGTGTGTGTTCTACTGATAAAGCTACTGATGTGTGTGTCCAGTCTGTTGAACGGGCCTCTGAAATGTTTCTTTCCTTGCTGTATCAGGTTGTTTAAAGCAGAAATCAGTTTCTTTTCTGTTTCTGTGTGTTTTGTTTGTCACATGTCCTCTGCTGCAGGTTTTAATCAGCACACCCACACAGTGCGATGGCCAGGATGTGTTGCTGGTGTTGAAGCTGAAGAACACAGTGAACCCATCATTAGCATTCATACTCACATGGCTTTCATCCTCACATAGTCTGGGATCGCTTTGGACTCAAAAACTCTGAAAAAGCAGTTCATCAGGTGTATTTGTCTCTCACTCTCTTCAGTGTGATCTCACGTTCGATTATCTTCTTATGCTGCTAGGTTTTTTTGTACTGAATATTCATGATATATTTGACATTATTTGTACAGATTTACTACCATTTATTTTAAGATAATGTATTGTACATAAGAAGAGGGACTAAAAGAAGTGACTTAAGCTTGTTATGTTTGCTCACATAAAGTACACCTTATTTATATAAAATATACTTTGCTTTTTTATGTTTCTTTCTTATTTCTTTATTATCTTTCTAGGCCCCTGACGAGAGAAAACGTAGAATTTCATTCAGAACATTTTCATTAAATTACTGCGTGTCTACGTGTAAAGATGTAAATGTCAGTCGCAGACAGAAAGGGAATTCATGAGTCGCGTTTCACATCTGCCTTTGTTTCGATTTTATGGCTTAATTTTTTAACCAGCCCTTTTTTTTTTTTAAAGTGGGATTTTTTTGTTTTTCTAGGACCACAGAGTAAGTAAATTCTTTCCCTGAAATGATTTGGTCATGTTGCTCATTTTTAGCTTATTCCTCCAACAACTTTTACACGTTTGAAAATAAGCAGGAGCAGGTTATGTGCCTGACCATATTAAATATAATAAGTCAGTCCTCTGAATGTGTTTATAGTTAAATTAGAGATGTCTATATTTCTTTTGGAGAGCATTATTTTGATATGTAAAGTGTGCTTATATATTATTTTTTGTTAAGAAAAAGTTTACATTGATAATAAACTCCTACAGATACCTACAAAGTTGATTATTTTTGCCGTCGTTCCTTTAACAAAAAGTCCAAACCCTCATGCCACCAAAGCAAGTAAAGCATTCCTACTCAGATTTGAGTTTGTCAGCAGCTCTGACTTTATTACATTCTGTGAGTAAACTCACTTTGCAGCCTACCAGAGAGGATTGGGGAGCAAGCTCTCTGCTTTTGTCTAAACTGCTAAGTCCCTGCATGTGAAACAAATCTGTGCAAAGTAACCAGACTCCACAGCAGTTTTCAGGCGATGTCAGGGATCTGCAGAAGCATGTGTTTGCAAGTAAAAAAAGAGACAAGAGAAAAAATGAAAAGATGAGATTTATACCTGCAAAAAGATCAACAGTACAGAAGGAGACGACCAATAAAAACGTCAACATTCACGAAGCATCCTTAACCAAAGGCAGTCGCTTTGTTTGACGCTCACTCCCTCACACACACACACACACACACACACACACACACAAACACACACACAAATACTGTTAATCTCCATGGCCCCAGATGTGGAGGCTGTGTGTGTGCGTGCGAGCGTGCGTGCGTGCGTGCGTGTTGCTGTCTTGTCCCTGCATGTGGCTGCTGATGGGAAACGTGAAACCAGGATGGGCTAATCCTCCAGACCTCAGCCTTTTGGTCCAGACAGACTAAACCCGGGTCAGACCATCACTTTCATTCCTCGTTCTTCCCCCGACTACGAATAATACAATAAAACAAGGCTTGCAACTCATTTCAAATGAAAAATGTAACTTTTGGAGTCATCCTTTTATCCTATTATTGGTTTTTATCGTCATATGATGGACATAGTCAGTCGTGGTGCACAACAACAAATGTATACCAACCTGTAGTTTTGTTAAATATTGTTGTATGTATACTTTTTAATCTAATAGTGAATTGGCTGGCTGCTTGAATTTAAGGCACAAGCGGTCAAGGTTTTTGAGGGTAAATTTCCTTGCCAACCTATTCTCTCTCTCTCTCTCTTAATCTTGAGGATGGAAATCACAACCTTTGCTTCTGGAGATGATGCATTTCGTGTTAATCACATTTGAATTGAGATAGGAACGAAAGCTTTCAGATTTTCTTGAACTACTGCATGAAACAGTCTACGGACCGATACTGAAACTTCAACTCCCAGAGGATTATTATATACTTGATGACATTAAGTATGGAAGGCCTACGCAGACATGCATACATACATCTTATATAGTCAATTTTCTTTTTCTCTCAAGACTTCCACATGTTTATCCTCAGGGTTTGAAAAGTACAAAACAAACAGAAATAGTCTCGGCTTACCTCTGTCATGGTCTGACTTATCACAGTGACCAGTCTATTGTTTTGTATTCTAAATCACCACAAAATGTAACATTATCCTGAGAAAACAGCATTGTTGTCTTCAGGTAGTTAGATAAATGAATCTGTTATAATAGAAAAAAACAGATTTATTATCCCAACAAAACAAGAAATGTAAGTAGAGACATCAAGACAGCAATTGACCTTAACTCCTTATCCCCGTAAAGCATCGTTATCTTGAGATAATGGGATAAATAAGTTGAGATCTTCAGAAAAAAATTGGAGATTTCGTTATCACGGGGTAAATAGAGTAAATCAAATACATGGATGCATGTCCACTTATTGCCTATAACTGATTGCAAGCTCTATACTTTTTTATCTGAACATACTCGGTGCTAATACGGTGCTAATATCTCTAGGAAGCAGCTGAGGCTTCACCTGTATTGATAGTTAGTCATGGACACTGGCAGCCCTCTACATTCTGGGATCCAGTGTATGCATCTCTAATCTTGTTTTAAGTTCCATTCATGGAAAATGTTCCTTTGCTTTTATGTCAGTCGCAGAAATGTTTGACCTCAGGAATGAACCCCGGGAACAGATCAAACTCACTTTGCATGTGGTTCATTTCAAACAGGACGGCATTGTTGACATGTCAAAATCAAACCAGACTCGTTAGCAGGGGGTCCATCTAATGGGAGGTCCTTGGAAGAGAAAAGTATTATCTATGATACGACGAGGCCTGCCTTATATACTTCATGTCCATTTTTTTAAAAGCTCAAACTTTCATTTGCGTTTGTTTGAAACTGGTCTTAGATCAGCTTTATGTTTGAAACATGCATCCCAAAATAAAATTTGTGCGAGAGGAAAACAATCAACTTATCTCTTTTGTGAAACCACTTTTCCCCTCCGTATACCAATTCCCAGATCTGCTCTTGAGTTCTGGCTGAACCTCTGTAGCTCCTCTCTCATACCAGTGCAATGAAAAAAACACATTACTTTTATTAGAAACAACTCTTTGATAGCTTTAATATGCAACTTTCTGCTGGCTTTGCACTTTTTTTTTTTATTATGACCGTTTCCTGAAACCATTTAATTTTTTTCTGGAGGATGATAAAATTGTTATCAGATTTGTGCATGGACTGATTTACTTTTCAAATACCCAACACCACATTTTGTGCTCTACCAGAGGCTAAAACATCTGTCTCTCTTGGTAGTATCAGTATCTGAACAACTTGAACCTTGAACCTTATTTAAAGCTCCTGTGAAGGGTTTGTAAGTGATTATGAAACAGACTGAAAGAATACTGACGCCTCTATATGACCTACAAAAGCAAATCTGGCTCCAGGAACACAGGAAGTCACATACACGAGTGGCAAAGAAGACGTTTTTACAGCATAAATAAAAAATGTTTACAGCCTGGTTACTGAACGAAATAGGCGTCAACTTCGTCTATAATCCTGTTAGGTTGACTGACAGTTAGGCTGAGACAGGATTTCCATCATGGCAGAAGCTGCCGATGAGGCTTCGGGACCCCCTGCTGTAACAGATGGCTGACGTCACTCAGGCTTGGTGCATTAATATTTACATATACAACCCAATAAGTTACAGTCCTTATAGGAGCTTTAAAGCAGAAACATTCTGGAGGTATTCGGTTTAGTGCAATTATGCACCCAGCAAAGGTCTCTGAGTGCATCTGCACTGTTGTGAAACACACTGACAGCTCGGTTGTATTGTTTTGCGTGCTTTCAACGTGTAAAATCTGGTCCAATATTTACTCTTGTCTGGCTTCATGCTCGGTCACTCTCTCTTCTTTCTGTCTCTCAGCCTCAGCCATTATATCAAATAGTACCGAGACGGGCTAACTGGCTTCTTTTTTTTTGGCTGAAGGCTTGTATGTCAAACTAGTGACATAAAACCGTAATTACTTCCCACGAGAGAACTGCGGCTGTTGCCATAGTTACGTAGTTCTGAAAGAAGGCGACCTGGGTTCTCTTTGGAAATATGACAAGACTCCTTTCTGCCAGTTGAAAGATATTGTACTATAAGATTTGACTTTGAAACTACTAATAAAAGATGGAAAAGTGACATATTGTTGCTTTAAATCTGACCTACGTTTAAGTAAACATCCCTCCTCTGACCACCTGTCAGCAGTGGATTTCTGACCAACATGGCCACTGTGAACGTCCTCCACTCAGTCCGATCAGGATCTTATCAAGCCGATCCACAGAAGTGGTTTTGTTTTAGCAGACGTGGGCTCACATAAACCCGTCCTCTGTGATAACAACTCTGTGAGCGTCACTTCCTCCGAAACAATCTAATTGTGTTGTGATTGAGGAGGACTGCGCCGTGTCTGGCCACTTCTGCGTGACAGTGCCTCCTTAGTGGAGGTAACCGTTACCCCAGCCTGCCTTACTCTGTTTATACTCAGTGATCCATTTTGAGACATGCAAGGCCCCCTCGCCCTGTTAGCGTACACTGAGGATTTCTCCGTGTTTACTCTGTATATACAGGAGTCAGCTTAAATAAGACTTCCATGAATGCTGGATCCCCTGAAAACTGATGGACTAGATTAGACTCTGGCCCACAACGCAGGACTTTTGGCTTTTTGGACCATTTTGACCAAAGCAAGGTTAATAAAACATAAATATTTATGGTACTATGGGGTTCCTTTTCTGCACTCAGAAGCCAAACATACAATCTGTGCTGAATATAATGATACAAGACAGATTTGTTGTAGCCATCAAAACATTCTCTGAGACACAGCCTGCTGTTTGGTGTTTATTATGCAGCATATATGTCGTGTTTTTTCCTACAAGTTGTGCACTGGATGACAGAATCTGTTTTGATGGAACAGAAAAGTACATATTGAGTTAATGTCTAATCCATCTCTTATTATGTTGTATTACACAATAATGTTTTTTGCCAACGTGATGATGGATTTTTGGCTTTTTAAAATGAATTCTCAATTCAATTCCTTTATAAATGAGGCACCCGTAGCCTAGTGTTTGGTGTGAGTGCCCGATATAAGGAGGCTAAATTCCTACAAGCAGGGCAGCCCGGGTTCAAATCCAACCTGTGGTTCCTTTTCCCGCATGTCATTGCCCACTCTCTCTTCGTCCCCGATTTCTAACTCCATGATCTCTAAATAAAGGCATAAAGAGCGCAAAAATAAACCTTTAAAATAAAAAATTAATTAATTCCTATAAAAACACCATAAATCTGTACATTTATTGACTGAATGATATTTTTAACACAAAGTATTCAGGTTCAAACATGTTGTTGGAAATTGTCACTTCTCCCAACTGGTCAAAATGTCATTATGTGTTTTATTTTATTACAGGTTCATACAAAGGTATATGGCACACTTGAGGTCAAAGCAAGGACAGTAAAACAGACTAAAACGGGACGGAAATATAAAACATGTAGAAGCACATATGAAACACTTAAAAGCAAGACAACATAAGTCCATGAATTATAGCCCAGCGGTTAAGTCGCGTGCCCCTTGTATGGAGGCTATAGTCCTCATCGCAGCGACCGTGTTATCCAATCTGACCTCGGCCCTTTGCTGCATGCCTTCCCCCCTCTCTCTCCTCCCAACGTTTCCTGCCTGTCTTCAGCTGTCCTGTCCAATAAAGGCAAAATTTGCAAAAAAAACATATAACTTTAAAACAGGACAGCAATACTGTGAAACTATGA